GTGATGAAAATGTGGTCTGTATGTACAAATGGAATATTACTCGGCCATAAAAAAGGAGGAAATCCTGCCATTTGCAACAACGCGGATGGCCTGGGGGTACTGTGCTGAGTGAAACAAGCCAGACAGAGAAAGTCAAATACCATATGATTTCATTGAAGTGTGGAATCTAAAAAAAAACCCAAACCCTCATAGATACAGAGAAAAGATTGGTGCGGGAGGGGTCGCAAAATGGGTGGAGTGGGTCAAAAGGTACAAACCTCCAGCATGGTTACTATACTTCATAATATTGTATTGCACCCATGGACACAGACGATAGTGTGGTGAAGGCCGGGGCGGGCGCCCGGTCAAAGGGGTCCATGGGGAAAAGGGAGGGACATCTGTAATTCTTTCAACAATAAAGGTAAATTTAAAAAAATAATACTGTACTGCATATTTGAAAATTGCTAAGAGAGTAGATTTTAAAATTTCTCATCACAAGGAAATCACCTGTAACTATGTAGGGTGACGGGTGTTAACTAAACTTACTGTGGTGATCATTTCACAATATATACACATAGAGAATCATTATGTTATACACCTGAAACTAATATAATGTATGTCAATTATATTTCATAAGAAACAATAAATTTGATCTCCCCTGGAATTCTTATCCCCTATTCTCTTTTACCCTGATTTATTTTATTAACATTGATGACTGTCTGACATGCTATACATTTACTAGTTTATATGTTTATAATCTCTTTCCTTCTCAAGGGACCACAAGCCTTACTAGGGCAGGGCTTGCTTGATTTGTACATCATAGCATCTCTAGCTCCTGTATAGGGACACGGCAGTGCCTGGTACACGGTCAGCATTCAAGAAATATTTGATGAATGACTAAATAAGTGAAAATAGGAAAGTATTGATTCTTTATATATTAATTTCAAAATTGGAAAGCTCACTAAATTGTTTCATTATTTCTTAACATATTTTTCAGTTGGCTTTTTTGGATGTTTTAGAACTGCTTTCTCTTTTCCAATATTTCTATTTTTTACCTTGCTATCGTTTCTACTTGCGACGTCTAGGGTTTTCATAATACTAAACCCTGGTGGTGATTTTTAGAATCCTTGTTTTGTTCCTTACTTTCGTAGGAATTCCTCTAATGTTGCACCCCTAAAGGAGATTCTGGTTGAGGCGTGAAACACAACACAGCACGGACACCACCCCACACACGAACACGTAACTCACCACATGAAAAATATATTCCCTCCTACTTACTAAGGACTTTATTAAAACTGTTGTAGGGGTTTACTAAATTATGTATTGGAATTTATTTATTAATAAAATATTTTTATTGATTTTTAGAGAGGGAGAGAAAGGGAGAGGGGGAGAGAAATATTGATGTGAAAGCAAAACATCAATTAGCTGTTTCCTGGGTATGTACCCTGACCGGGAATCGAACAGGTAACGTGTCCATGCACCGGATGACCCCCAACCAACTGAGCCACACTGGCCAGGGCTGGAATTTATTAACATGAGCACGTGTCCTCTCATTTGACCTGTTAATATGATGCATTGCAATAATAGTGAGCACTGTGCATTCAATTGGTATAGTTTCCTTTTAATACATTCAATGTTTTAATATTGTAAGTTTCATTTTTTCTATATATGTAAAACTGATCTCTTTTCCTTTTGTGCAATTTTAGTCAGGTTTGTCATGACAATTATGGCCGGCCTCATAAAAAAGAGAACTATTCTCTTTTTGCTCTGAAGCAGCTCAAAATTAAAGATTTCTTGACAATGTGAAATAATTTGTGAGATCATCAGGCCTAACATGCCTATTATATGTTTAGGACTCTATATTTATGTGATTTTCTCGGAGGAAAGGGCAGACTTTAAAACATTCACACTTTTCTAGGGTTAATGGTCTATTCTGATTTCTTATTTCTTCCTGGAAAAAGTTTTGCTATTTGTATCTTTTCAGTTGGCCTTTTTTGGGTATAAACTCCAAAAAATAACTTAATACTTTTTTTCATCAGATCTCACATTTGCCTGCCTAGTAAGTCTATGGCCTGTGATTATTTCTTTTCTCCTTTCTGATTCTTTGTATTTGTGCTTTGGCGATGGTGATGCTGAAGAAAGGAACATTGTTCACCGGACACTTCCTTTGTCCTTTGGCAGCCTGGGGAGATTGGCAGAGACCAGCACCTGGGGCATGGTGGCGGGAACTCAGACACGGGCCAGGCGCAGCTGGCCGAGGTGACCCTGCACCTCTGTGAGCTGCTGGGAGCGCCACACACATCTCAGACCCGCGGGCTAAGTGGCCCAGAAACCACTGGGAAGTCCTGCTTTGTGCCTAAGGTGACTTTCAGTTCTCCAAGAAGGGACTAGCATTGGACAAATGAAAAAGCTTAATTGGGACTAGCATTTGACAAATGAAAAAGCTTAATTAGCCAACTGATGCGTGGTCCAGGTAAATACTTAGGGGGAGGAGTATATCTGGGAGAGAATCTGCCCTTTGGGACTGAGGTGGGGACTCAACATTTAGCCTCATTTAGTATTCAAATGTCCTCGAGGGCTGATGAGGTCACAGAACTTGGGTAAAATAAGCCTCTTCTGTCTTTTAGCCCCGCCTTTGTTTGTTACTGCTTTTTAGGATCCTTAATAGGCTTTTCTACTGGGCTGGCCCCTGGAAGGAGTTTCCCACTCCCCTTCCCAGCGTTCTGGGGTATCCAGCCACTTCTTCACTTCTTGGCCTGTTCTCCTGATGTCACGCAGGTGACATTCAACACTTGCCCAGCCCAGTTGGTCACCCTCCCCACGCACCCTCTGTGCCTGTGGTCCCTCCACGTTCATCTGTTGCCCCTATTCACTGAGGCCCAAGCCAGAGCCCCAGAGCCCAGCTAAAGAAACTCTTTGGCTTTCCTGGCCCTTCCCATGAAATACCAAATACGGTTTGCACATTTCCTTCCCCCCTCATTTTAGTAACGTCACCCCTCTCCTCCTCTCCTCTTACCACAGATACCCTAGCTCAGGCCGTCATCATCTGGGATCGTCTGCACTGATGTCTGATGCGTTGAGTGTCAGGGAACCCGGGGTGCACTCAGCCAGCAAAGCCCACGGTGTAGCCGAGGATCTGGGGGACCTGGCCCTTTGCAACCCACCCCCAGGTATGCGCGCCTCAGCTGTGGTGGCCTCCGCCTTGGGCTTAACTATTTTTATCGCTTGCCCTCATTTCATTAGATTCTCGATCTTTGTTTCAGAACCTACTTGGTACCCTGCCCACAAATCTAGTGGCTTAGAAAGAAAGGACCGAGGCCAAGTGGCTATCTCGTTGGCAAAGGGCACAGAATCTGAGGACACACTGTGGGCAAGGGTGTGGTGAAAC